AAACAAAGCTAAAGCCCCATTATATACTAATCATATATATAGAATAGAAGAGATATCAGTCTTCTCAGCATTATGATTGAGAGATTCCAGGAGATGCATTTAATCTAACCAGGATTTCAATGTCATTCTTTATAATCGCATGAATTATTACAAAAATATAACGCAAATAGGTGCCTCGTTTATTTGCTCCTAAATACTAGAACATTTTGCACAGGCACAAAAAAGGACAACAGATGTGACTTAAATCCTCCAAAACACAGACGTACTTTGATTGTCCGCATAAAAATGTGGAAGCTTTAATAGATGGGAGTTTAAGTTATTAGTTAATAATAAAAACAACCACAAGGGGAAACGGGGCTTTTTCCCCCTCTCAGAAGCTATGTTTAGCCCAGGACTGGCTGCCAATCCCAAGGGGATGGCTGCTGATCCCTTCCCTGCCCCAGTACCATTGGAGGCGGGATTTAAAAAACCCACTACATCAGTTTTGCAAAATTCTCGTGCAATTTTACCAGCCTAAGTACAAGATCCACTTGCCCACCCTTCACCGCGGGGACGGAAAAGAGCCTCCGGAGCCCGGATTAGCTCTAACAATGGCCAGCGCCCCGGGGCAAGGCACTGGGGCTGCTGCCCCGAAGGGACAACCGAAGTCCAGGCTCCTGGGGCGGTCCCCAGGGAATTCACAGGCAGCTCCCTCCATCCCCCTGCCGGGGCAACGCCCGCTCCCCGGCGGCGCCCCCTAGCCCATGCAGGGGTGACAGCCAAGGGGCCGCTGCCCGCGGGGATGCCCCGGGGCCGGGCCACCGCCCGCCCCGCCCCAGCTGGACCCCACAGCCCGGGAGCCGGCCGGCGGGCACAGCCGAACGAGCCCCGCCCCAGGAGGCGCCCAGCTCCGGGGGAGGAACCCCGGATCCTCACCTCTCGGCCAGGGAGGCTGGCAGCGCCGACGCCTCGGCCCCGCAGCGGAAACGGGCGGCCGGGCAGGTCTCTATTGGCCCTTAGCGCCTGCATGCCCCCTCCTGCCCGCCCCGCTTCCGGACTCCCCGGCAACCACGCCGCGCTCCGCTTGCCAATGAGAGTGACAGCCTGGAGGCCCAATGAGAGGGCGATGGAAAAGAGGAAACCGAAGCCAGTAACCAACCAGCAATTGAGACTGGGGAAGGGCGGGACTTCTAGGAACAGGGGCGCTTGGGAAATGTAGTCCTTCCTCGTGGTGCCGCTGGACCAACGCAGATACAGAGAAGAACCCTGCTTTCTCCTGTCATATTTTCTCCTGTCCTTTTTTCTTCCCCTTTCTACTTTTCCTCTGTCCTCGTTTTTCTCTCTCCTCTTTTTTCTTCTTTATTTTCACGTTCTTTTCTTATGCCTTCTTTTTACTCCTTCTTTATCCTCTTTCCTTTCTCTCCCTCTCACTGTCCTTTCATCTACGTTCGCGCCAGCGGCAGTAATTGCGTCCCCAGTCGTTGTTCGTGTAGGACTGTAGGGTGTAAAAAGGGGTGATTACATTTTCAGCGCTTCTGCAAATCACTTGAAACTTCTGCACGCCAGATCGTGTTTGCAGCCTTTGACCCAGAGCTTTTCAAAGGCATTCATTTAAACAGAAAATATTGTTCTTTAGAGAGAGGTATTTAGCTGTAGGAATGCACAGAGCGAGGACGGGAGATGAAACGCAAGCGGAGGGGAATTTCTTTTTCTTGTGGCAATGGTGTGAATTTCTGTATATGTGCCATTGTCACGAGCACACGCACACAAAAGTTGATGGTCCGGTGTTGTTTGAGGGCGGCACGGCGGAGGAGAACTACTAGGATTTTCAGAGCTGCAGTGAAACTATAATGCAACCATAGCAAATATATATATATATATTTTAAATCTCCTAATAACCTGTTCATGCGGATGTTCCCTGTGCTGAAAGCAAGTCTCTACCCTAAAATGTTGCAGCCACGTATGTTCATTTCATTGTTCCCTTCTCTGGAAAATACTCTTGGTTAATCACGTTTTTATTTGAGCAGTTTTTAAAACGCCACACGTGTTAAAGATAGATAAATGTCTATCAGGGATGGTCTAGACAGTATTTGGTCCTGCCATGCGGGCAGGGGACTGGACTCGATGACCTCTCCAGGTCCCTTCCAGTCCTAGAATCTATAAAGGCCCCTTCTCGGTGAAGAAATCACTTTCTTATAACTCATAAAGAGCATTAGCAGCAGCAGCGATCAGAGAGAGGTAATCAATGAGAAAAACCCCTGGAGATCTGAATCCTTTGCCAGACTTGCTGGAAGGAAGAGATTGTCAAACCCCCCACCCCGTCTCCCTCTCTTCGGCAGAGAGAGTTAATCACCACAAGAAAACAAACTGGGGGAAAGACATGTTCCCTCCGCGACTTCAGCGGGATCTGCTGGGGCTTGAAACCTTTTGCTGGTGACACATTCTGTCAATCCTATTTAGTTTGAAATGGGGGAGGGAGGCATTGTATGGCAGAGCATGAAGCAATCTGACATCTCTGCTGCTGGAAGAACGGGTGCTTGTTTTGGGGGCGCGCACTATCACTTCTAAACGCGCACCGCATGTAAGCATACCTATGGTCTAAGACATTGACAAGAGGGTTCTCATCGAGAGCTCTAGATAACCTCAACATAGGGGTCGCTACCAGCTCCCCCTATAACACAAGTGGGTACATAGCCCAATGTCCCGCTGTCCCACCCACCCTAAACAGATTTCCAAATAAATAAAGAGGAACCTTCGCTATCTCTTCCCTTAACGCGCGCGCACACACACACACACACACACACACACAAAAGGAAAGAAAAGAAAACACATTTGGTTGACATATGGAAAAAACCAACACACCCGTCCTTGCTCCTTTTTCCAACCCTAAAGCAGCCAGGGTTTTCGAAGTAAAAATCTGTCGCGTGAACCTCCACTTTCCTTATCCACGACTTCTCTCTGCTCAGCACATGGCGTGAATTAAACTTTACGCGTTTGCTAAACTTCCGCATTTTGTCTGCCGTTTGTTTACTGAGATCTGGCTATTGCTGGCAGCAACTTTTGCTGTTCATCTACTAAATTGAAGGGCAATCGAGATTTCGTATTCCAATCGCAGCCGCTTTGGATCTTCCAGGAGCCGACTAATTTTAAGCAAAAAATTCTCCAGCCGACACCCTCGGAACAGGTCCGAGGGTAATTAGTACACGAGAATGTACCAGTAAATAATTGAAATGCAGCCTATTTTGGAAAGGCACCAGGCGCTTTGAAAGCGATCCAGGTAAGAGCAGCACTTGACATCCCCCCTCCCTCCCCGTACGTGTCTGTGTGTGTATTTAGCTGGAGTTGTTGGGAAGAATGGGTGAAGGGCAGAGCCCACAAATTGCAGGGAAAGCAGCTTGGTTTAGCTGGGGGGGGGGGGAGAAGAGAATAATTCGGGATATGTTCCTATTGGGAAATATATCTGGTGGAATCAAAAGAGATTACATCCTCTGATCGGCAGGGATTTCTCCCAGTTCATATGGTTTTAATCTGCTTTCGCTTCTACCCTTTTATGAGTTTCAGAGAGAGAGAGAGAGAGAGAGAGAGAGAA